AGCATTCAAGACAACAGCGAGCGAGCGAGCGAGCGAGCGAGAGAGAGAGAATGATGTTGCTGCCACTGTATCCATAAATCCATACTAGCTTGACTGGTCCAAGCCTGGATAACTTGTGACTCACCAAGTTAAGCAATATAGGTTTTTGGCAACGTGCAACTCCACAAACCCTAATGCTTTCACTGCCTGCCCAGGACTACTAAGTGGGGGTTATCAAAAATCTGGCTAGCCATGATCTCTGGCTACCACGTTCTGTTTGGTAAGCAATCACATTGGTAGCAATCCTGCTGCTTAGCATAGTAAATTTCAACTAAAGAAATAAATCCCAGTGATCCGAGGGGATTTGGTGAGCCAATGCCTCAGTAAGTTCCATTGTATGCCTAGTTGTGATTTACTGTGCTAAGCAACAGGATTTCAGCCTGTACATACCTTCTTGCTCAGGGTCAAGGAGAGCTTGCTGCAAATTGTTCCTTCTTGCAACTGCATCCTTGCTCTTAGTTATGATTCATGAATATTCCTCTGTCCTGTTCTGTTCCTGTCTAAACATTCTGTGCAGGTTGGGGAAGGAGAATGCCTGGATTAAATACCCACCCCAGTCACACACTGAATAAAGGTGGAAGTTGCATCCCTAACTGTTCCCTGTCTTAGATTCTGGACTGCTCAGTTGCAAAGTTTCTGGCTGGTCTAATGCAACAACAACAAAAAAGGTCTTCTCTACACCCAGTGACACAGCACTGCTAAGACTGCTAATACAGTCCATTCTTAGTGCTTATGTCTGAGCAGTAAGCTTCAGATCAGACTCTACTTTATGCAGCCTCTTTGAAACCTGCGTTCAAAAATGAGGATGATTATTTTTTCTTTCAAGCCCTTTACCACCTTCAAATTGCCAAGGGTTTCTGTGTCCCAGGAAGAAAAGAAGGTCAGGAATAGTAAGCAGTCATCTCTGCATCTGCTGCTCAGAAAGGATAATGCTGGATCAGTCAGATAAAACCCCAGCTTTTCAGCATTTGCTTTAACTGGCACTCAGCTTCATGCAGATTGGCTGTCCTTGTAAAAAGGTAGATGAGAGCAAAGAGGGGAAAAAATCAGAATGTCCTCTGCTTCACTAGCTCAGGTCTGCAATTTTTTAAAAAATAAAAGACAATTCCATAAAAACAAATTTATTAAGATGTGGAGGGCCTCATTTGTTTATGTTCCTTTGGTTGAAGGCAGGTTGTTCTAGAGCAGTCATCCTCAAAAGGAGCTATATGGTCCACTGGGAGTAGTCTGGAATGTTTGAAGGGAGCCATCAACTGGAAACAAATCTTCACACACCACCTGATAAGGTTCGTTATGTGACTTAGACAAATCCTGATTTGGTCTATATTTCTTTGATGTTGTGTTTATGGCTGCAGCAAAAAAAAAAGTTGAGAATGGATGTTCTAGGGAGCTGAGAAGGCAGCTGGAAGGAGGAAGCAGTAGTTACTGGAGTAGCCGGTGCCGCTACTGTGCACATGCAACTCCTACTTTCACTCTCGATAAACAAGACAAGCAAACCACAATATGAGCTGGGAGGAGTCCTCACCCTGCACCTGTGATATATAAGTTGTCCCTCCCACACTCTGATAATCAGGGAGGCATCCTTTGGGTACTTTAGGGCGGGAAGCTTCCAGGGGAACATCAGGCCACCTTTCCAGTTGGTTGATTTGTTCCACAAATGCATAACCAAATGAAAAATTGGCCCAAGGGGAGGAGTTTAGTGCATTTTCTTCTTAAAATATTACATACTTTAAAAAAAAATTATTACACCCGTATATAAAAATGATTATTAAACATTACATTCAATGTATTATAGAATGAATTTAATTAATTATAAAATAATTATAATAGGAGACCCCCCAGCACCACCTTCGGAGTTCTCCCCCTCCAGGAAGGACTGGAGCCTCTGTAAAACAATGACCGTAAATCCCATCCCCAAAGAGATGGCACAGAACTAGAACTGCTGGACAGTTCAGTGCTTGGGTTTTAGAAGAATAGGCTGTGCTAGCATATCAACCAAAAACAAAAATAAAAAATAAGGAAGACAAAAATATTGTGGCACCTTAAAGATTAACTGCTCTATTTTAATGTAAATTTTCGTGGACAAGTCCACTTCCTCAAGCAGATGTCTGGCATATTAAAATACAGCAGTTAGTCTTCAAGGTGCCACAACTTCTTTGGCCTCTTTATTATTTTTATTTTGTTTTTGCCTCTGTGCTTTAGGTCTCTGCCTGCCGAGCCGGAAATTGGGATTTGGGTCCTTGACAAGAGTTGGACCCTTTGATCCATAAGGCCCCTTCCAGCTCTGGAGTTCTAAAATGATGGGGATGATGATTATGATAAATCAACTTTGGGATTCACAGAGCTTTAATCTGAACAAAATTAGAGCTTGGTGAATTGAATCTCCAATTCCTGAACAGGAACTGGCCACTTAAATAACAAACGGTTTGCAAAAGCTGCGTAGATAATTAAGGCTATTTAAATAACAAAGGAAGACAGCTGCTGGGGACATGGCTTATAATTAAAATAATTAAATTAAAGGTTTTCTCTTTTAATTTGCACTAAATGTCGTCTTTTGATCAACACTTAACATTTGGTAAACACCACCCCATTGAAATAAGCAGCCAGTTTAGCAGTTCAACACTGAATTTCAGCAGCAAAGTATAACAGTGTTGTTGTTTTTTAATAAAAACTCTGGGGAGGTGCGAAAAGGGTTTGGGAGGCACATGTGGGCCACAAACTGCACTTTGCTCACCCTTGGCTTAGAATAGCTGTATAACTTCTATCATCACCACAAAAACAAATTAACCACAGTTTAGTGTATTGTCCAAATGCTCCAACATGGTTAAACTTATGTATAGTCTGTTAAATTAGACACTTTCACAAACTGTAGTTTGAAGCTGACTTATTTGGAAAAAAATAGACTCCAATGAAGGCTGTTTCTGTAATTTACAGTTTAATTATGGCAATCAGAATAAAGACACTCACCCCTGAAACATATATGGCTAGCTATATATGACTGCCAGTTCTGCAGAGCATACATTTCACACTGCTTCAGTGGCTCCCAGAAAATAAAATTACATCAAACCAGCAAATGGGATTTTAATCTGGATTATAACATATTTGGAGCTCAATTCACGTGTACAACCAGTGGCACAACTGCTTCTTTTAAAAAAGCAATTGCACGGCGTCTATTCTATGTGGCAAGTCAAAATGCCAGAACAACATGTCCATGCCTAGCAGTTTGCCAAGTAAGAAAATCTGGGAACTCCTGACTAAATGCCTGCCTCAAGCTCAATACATTTGAATTATTGGGGAAAGAGCAGCATATGAGGGGCCTCAACATTTTTCCATCCTGAATTCCAGCTACATCTTCCCCAAACAAAAATTTTACCCTTGACAATAGCCTTACTACTGTAGGTTCTGAAAGATAAGCAAAATGATTAGAGATGCAAAAATCATCTCAATTTCATGGTACTTCTCCAAATCCCACCTACATTTGTTTCTTTTTGGGTGGCAAGACTTTATGTTGCTTTCTGCCCTTAAATCCATGCACATTTCAAAGCATTTTGGCTAACATACACATTTATTAATGTATTTTATCTCATTTGATTATTTCCCCCATTGACTAAAAGGCTTGCTTGTGCATATTTTTAATTACAGTATATATATATTTTAGTCATTTCCATTCTTAAGTAGGCACATGGAATTGAGAGCAGTATGTTTTTCTGAGTGATACAGTTGTGTGAATGATCAAGGCAATGCTCATTTTTTCTTGCAACAAAACCAGGGAGATGTAACAACACAAGAAAATTATTTTCCATCCATAAATAAGCCAGAATTAGGAAAATCAGAAGCCTATGGGAGGAGCAAGCCATCAGCGGTACAGAACCTGCTACGCATGTTGAACATCCCATGTTCAATCCTTGCTATTTCAACTTCAAAGTATCAAGTAGCAGGTGATTTGAAAAAAAAATCTGCCAGGACCTTGGAGAGGTCCTAAATATGTTAGAAATGCATGGACATGTGCTTGGTCGGAACAAGCTTCCATGGCTTCTCATGTTTGAAGTCTGTGAGGGTTACTCGGTAAGTTGACTTATGTGCAGAGTGTGCCTACTTGGAGCTCTCGTTTACAAAGCAATGTTCCCTACGATTTGTGCAATGGTAGTAGCCCAAATGAAGAATACCACATTTGTCCAAGAAAGTAACAGCAGGCATATTCTTCACAGAGAGACACCGATAAATAGGTGGACTCCAGTTGCCCTCTAGCACATTCCCATGGTGCTCATAGAGTGAAATAAGGTTCTCTTGGCAGGGTAGACTTGATTTTAAATGATTTAAATCAAAAAGTCAGATTTTTTTAATGATTTAAATTTTAAAAAATCAATTTACATCATTAAACGATAATATCTAAAAGCTAAAAAGAGTAAATATAAAAATGCCAAAAAAGCATTTTTAAAATATTATATTAAATACAGTAAATGAAATCAATACTAAAATATTAAAGCAACAAGGCACAACTATTCATTTTAAAACTCCTCTCAGATAGCCAGTCACTCAGGGAAAGCCTACCTAAAGAAAAAGGTCTTCATCTGCTTGTGGAAGCAGACATTAAAACCAGCATGTATTCCATTTAAACAAGCACTAGTAGGAGATTCAGCTGTAACCTTGCTATGAAAGAACAAGATATAATTTCTCATCCTGCTTCTTGCTTGTCTACCACAACATCACACTTAAACACAAAGTTAGAAACTTCCACTTGTGCTTGTGTGACAGGGCAGGTGCAAGGGCTGAAAAGAGGAGCTTGAAAACACAGCATTTCCGATATGTAGTTGTAGAGGAATAGGAAATGTAGTGAACTGGAGCATCCTACTACTGGGCTGCAAGCTCATATCCAAAATACCCCAATGCTTTCAACCATCTTCACATAGAAAGAAAACACCGCTGAAGTTTTGCATAGAGAGTAACTTATCTCCTCATACTTTTGAAGGGTAAGAGTCAGGTTGTAGCTCGCTGATTTTATCTTGTTCTGGGCCTCCAAGTGGGTCATGCCTTCTGTGTTGACTCCATCAATGGCTACCACCAAGTCCCCCTGGCTCATCTGGGACTGAGCTGACTTGCTGCCAGGTGTAATCTGTGGTAGAAGAAACAAAAGAAGGAGAGGAAAATAAAGAGGAGATGGCAAGACAAGAGTACAATTCTTTGGACATCACGTATGTGTACATGGACCCCGGTCTACTGCACATTGGTTTACTAACTCTCCCCTCAAAGGAAAATATAATAGATGGATAGGCATCTGAAAAGATAGAGGCCTGATTCAGTATACATAGTCCACCAGCATATCCACAAACATGAAGGAATCCCAAGAAACTATGCTGCTTGAGGAAAAACAGCAAACAGCATTCCCCCGCCACAGTCAAGCCACATGGTACCCTATGGCTACTCAAGGTATATTTCTTCATCCTGGTGATTAGGAAAAAAGCCAACCACAAATTAAACAACAATGAATTTGCTGCCTTTTCATAATCCATTGCTTGAAGCAAATAGCTCATTGTATTTTGTGCTATGGGGTGTGTGTGTCTGACATAGCATCTTCAGAACAGCAGGCTGGCTTGGCTTGGTAATCATGATACTTCGAATAGGGGCTGTTATGTAGAAGCCGATACAGGCTCTTTATATGAAAAAGCAAACGAGACAGAAGTTGTTGTGGGTTTTTCGGGCTCTTTGGCCGTGTTCTGAAGACAGAAGTCTTCAGCAGTTGCTTCCACAGGACTATATATTTCCTCCATCTTGAAATACAGATGCCCGTCTTGTCATAAAAATGTTAACTACTCCAAGCTGCTGACATATGTAAATTCTGGAAAGCTGACTCCCGGTGCTTCCCACCTGCTTGTACTTATCAAGAGTGAGCATTCATTGCTAAGCACTGACTCTCTTGCCGAATAAAGCCAAAAGGCAGCTCAAATTAGGAATTCCTGCTCATCACACCCTCACTCTCATCTCTCTTAATACCATTTCATGCACTCAAAACTAAACAACCTGCTAGACAAAGAATAATATGCTATACCTTCTTTCTGTTTTCCTACTTTGCTGTGATGTTTGTGGGTTGATGCCTGAATATACTTCCTGATATGGAAGTGAAGTTTTAAAACCTCTGTGAAAAGGCTGCACCACCTTTAAGTGCACATGCAAATAAGCCACACAAGGCACAAAATGTTCTTTTCATAATTACCTCCTTCCTGGAGATTCTGCTTTAATGGACTTGCTCTTTTAAAAAAAACTTACTTCTAAGCATAGTCTCTTTGTCAACCTCCTGCGCTGAAATCATTTTTTCCATTTATTTTACATTTATTTCTCCATTTCCTTTTAATATGAGGTCTTTCTTAGATGCTGCATCTTGGGAACATTACGCAAAGTTGCCCATGGGTGCAGTAGCAGAGACTAGGCCTGGAGGCATGGACTTAATTTTTATTTTCCACCTGAATGGCCCAGGTAAAGACATAACATGGAGAGTTGTTGTTGAATAACTTTAGCAACCTTACTTTTTTGGGGAGGTTGCTCATAGTTAGTATTTTTACTGTTATTCTACCACAAATGTCACAGCCAGTTTCTCCGCAAATGCCACAAACCACAGTGCTCTGTTCTTGCCAACCTGAAAGGGCCTGGAAAGGATGCGTCACTTGCCTAGAAACCTCTTCACCTCTCCCCTAGCCATGATAAAATAGCAAAAGCAAAGCTAAGCATGCTGCTTATATACCACCCCTTAAAGCACTCTCTGGGCAGTTTACAAGTTAATTTTGCAGGCCACCCCACCCCCCCCCCCCCGCGACCTGGGTACTCATTTTACCAACCTCGGAAGGATAAAAGGCTGAGTCAACCTGGAGCCGGCTACCTGGGATTTGAACCCCAGGTCGTGAGCACAGCTTTGGCTGCAGTACAGCAGTTTAACCACTGCGCCACGAGGCTCTTCAAAATAGGGCAGACCAGAGCTGCATGTGATGGCTTTACAACTTCACTTTCATATTGATTTTTAAAACTAAATCATTATATCAATTTGATTTTTAAAAATTATTGATTTTTATCCACCCTCAGATTACCTCTCCTACACCCTGGCAGTAAATATATGTATATAAACTAAACAATTTATTGCCCTTTCATGATATCCCAAATCTGCCACCTGAAGCAGTCATTCCCTTAATGATACGTAGGGCCAGCCCTGTTGGGAGCCCCCATACACACACACAGTGCACTGAGATACAGGACAACATATTTGTCACAAGCAAAAGAGTACTTTAACATTCAAGCTTCCTGCCTGGAGAGTCATGACAACTTATCAGCACTTCAACTGAAGCGATAAGAGCTGAAATGCACCACAAGGAGATAAAACTGGCTAGAGATGTTAAAAGGCTAGGATCTTTAACCAAAGTTGATGACTCAAAAAGACTCGTCTCCTCTCAAAGGATGAGGTATACAGCTACTAAAATTAGACGCTAATTGGCTTCAACAATCTACTTCCAAGAAAACCAACAGCATGCAATTGGGACCAGCACAAGGGAGCACACAGTAATCAAAAGTGAGCCGCATTCCACTACTCTGTGACAAGATAAGGCTGAGCCAAATCTGAAGTATGAGGGAACACTGGGGAGTATCTTGTTCCAACCTTAACACAAGGAATGCAGGGAAGAACCTCTGTCTGCTGGCACTATAAGCTTGTCCACACAGTCAAAATTGTGCAGTGCGAGTCTTTGTAGCTGATTGTCTTACTCACCAAAGAGCTGGCAAATTCCCTTAAATGGATGTTCTTGTTTTTTTTCCAAAGAAAAGTCCAATAAGAGTCCTATAAGTGTCTTTTGTGTGCTCGTCTACACTAAAAATAATTTCAAGAAGAAAAAAACAGCAGACAAAAAATATGAAGGACCCTAAACTGCCAGATACTATTGTCATTGCATGCCACCATTCAGATCAGTCAAACATGAAATGGAAGCTATCCGATATGAACTATCACTGTATCTTAGTACGCCATGGAGAAATGCTAAATGCCAGTATGAACATTATGGCAAGAAGAAGACCAGCCAGGTCTCTGTCCACCAGCAAGCGAAGGAACAACTATTATTTGCTTTTCTCTTCTCTCTCCCTTACTTTTCCCTTTTCTTCATCATACTACTATGAGACTGTGAGCCTGCACACAGGGACTGCCTTGTCTCTTAATCTCTGTATAGACAACATTTAGAAAATGTGAAATCATCATAAGTGCTATCAACAACAGCAACACCTATCTATCTATCACTCTCAAAACACCCAACGTTGAAATAAAATTACACTGGCGATCAAACACCAGTAGGTAAAGGTAAAGGTTCCCCTTGACATTTAGTCCAGTTGTGTCTGATTCTAGGGCGTGGTGCTCATCCCTGTTTCCAAGCCATAGAGCCTGCATTTTGTCCGTAGACAGTTTCCGCGGTCACGTGGCCAGCACAACTAGACAGGGAATGCCATTACCTTCCCACCATGGTGGTACCTATTTATCTACTCACATTTACATGCTTTCAAACTGCTAACACCAGTATTGTCACTGAATCTGCAGCAGGCATTTAGAGCAGTGGTTCTTAACCTTTACTTTACCATGGTCCCCCTTTGAATATCTTTTGTTGCCAAGGACTATCAAGATTAAACTCAAGATTTAAAATGTGAAAGTGCATCAAATATTTATTTAAAGTTACTCCGGAAGGGCCTCATCAACAGATATTCCTTGCTATAATAGCAACACTTTTCAAGATGAATGGAAGAAGTTTCATTTTGCTTTGAACAGGGTACACCCTCATCAACAGCATCCATTCTTTTTTACATTTCAAATTCAGCAATCCATTCTAAGACTCAGCCAAAATATATTTTTGCGAAATTCACTGTGATAATATCAAAAAGTCACTTTACCTGACAATAACCAAATGGTTTTATTAGCAGGAATCAAAGCAGAAACATGATCATGAAGTCCATCCAAACACTCACTAACACTGACACAGACTGACTCTGACTCTTCCTGAGGCTTCTAACTGCGTGGTAGCAAGAAATGTCATGTGCTGTCTCTCAGCCACTCAGTGGCACCCACTTGCATGTTTTCACCGTGTGCAGAAACGTCAAACAGTTATTTGCTATCAAACAATTATTTTCATAACTGATTTTACCTTTGTTTTTAATGGAGGCTGAAGATTAGAAAAAGCCATGCTTTATACAAACAAACAAGGGGAATTAAGATTTTGTTCTACATTTTCATTCATTCATTCATTCATTCATTCATTCATTCATTCATTCATTCATTCATTCATTCTCTTTTAATTGCAAAAAGATCATAACTTTTATTGAAGCCTTCACTTACCCCCTGTGAGGCCATTGTGCCCCCCCCCCAAGATATGTGGAACACAAGTTAAGAACCTATGATTTAGAGAATATGAACTGTCTACTCTGCATGAAAACACTATAAGCAGAATTTTCGTGACTAAACTCACCGTGAGCCACTACAGAGAGCTTTCCCTTGACTAAGCTTGGTCATCTGGCAACCAGGAAGAATGATGCAGATTTGAAGTGGCACAGAATGTAGAATTTGTGATCAGACAGCTACAGCTATGTGTGTTTACTCAACCAGCTTTTCTCTTCCATTTCCTACCGATTCTATTAGATATATATTTTAAAGCCTTCCTTCAGTTTTAAAGATCTGTGCTGTGTTTCAAAGAGGCATTTCAATCTTTTTTGTAGGTTCTGAAACTGCCTGTTCAATATTGTTACTATTTTATTTCTCTGTTTTTAAGAAATATTTTCTCCGAAAGGTCATCTTTTTGAAAATAAAAAGGTATGTTTATTAGTATTTCCAAACCAGTAAAGTAAATGGAAGATTTTATAGCTTCTCCCACTGCTACAATAATTTTAATTTCCTGGGTCCCCTCAGCCTCTTCTGTCTAAACTTTTCACCAAAAATAACTTAAAGCTCCATATTTTCATGTAATGGTGAAGGTTTTTATTTTTGTCTTAATCAGCACATTCAGGCTGTAAAGTCACATCCCATGAAGACATTCAGGACAACAGAAAGGGTTTTAATGTGATACTCATCGACCTGAGCTCACTTTTCATATTCAGTTTCTTAAA